TCGATGTGTATAGACACAAAATAAACACACGTCCACATGGTGTTACAGGTCTTTATATTAGTTTAATATGCATAAAATAAAGTTTAAATTTAAAGTCCATTTGTAATAACCCAGGTTAAATACTGTGTTTATTGCTGACTATGTGACTGACTTAATGAAAATTCCACTTACATTTGCAGTGATAAGTTGAGCCAGGAAGAAGGAGGCAGCAAATTAGATGAATAAATATTGTGCGACACACTCAGAGGTGCAGCGACTGGGTCAAGTCACCTTTGTCCATGTTTCGCACAAAGACTCCTCCAGGGCACTCTGCCTAATTGGTCGACTAATTAAAGCAAAATGAAAAAGGCATCTGCTGCATTACAGAGTGTGTGTCGGATCTATAAAAATAATCATGTCTCCAAACGTGCGTTATCCATAAAGTAATCATATTGATTTACGCTCTTTGAGAAAATGCCAGAGAAACATGTATCTGCATGAAGATACTATGACACACAGCCGGGGGTGGACGGCTTGATGGATGATCTCTGTGCACAGTTTTTCATACGCTGTATAGCAGCGTAGCTTGTGTGGCGACGTGCCCTTGATAAGCACCAAGTACTGCGCTTCAACAAGTGAACAGCTTTCCATTTTTTCAGATGCATCAACATTAACCTTGGTGCCTCCAGCCAAGGACTTTGTAAAACTGAATTTATTCCCCACATCCAGTCAGAAAAATAACACAAAAAGCAATGTTTTCCTCTCAGAGAATGTGTGCGAAAATAAAAACTATTTAGTGAACGCTGGCAGCAATATTGAGGTTCTTGTTAGACTCCTGAGGTGTTTGGAGCTGCTGTCAGATGTGCTTTGTTGATTAATGGCTCCCTCATCGATCATAAGGCAGAGGCTGTGCACAAAAACATCACACTCTCTGCCACTGCCTATTGACTTTCACTCAATAATTTTCTTAATGAATGGGTGATTATATTCAACATCAGCTTCGTATGAATCGCAGCAAAAACAGCAAGTGCGGCGCCTGTTTCTCTATTTTGGAAGTTCACTTTATTGATCTGTTACCAAGCACTCTCTTAGGACATTCTGCGAGGTGTTTGATTTTTTTGAGAACTTGTCAATAGTTTACCAGCATGTTTTAGTAATGCAGCTCAATAAGAACTGCAGCTATATCTTAATTGCAGCTGTGCAAAGTTATTTGGAACAGCTCTAGCACTGCCTTCAGTTTCAGTATTAAAGCTGCTTGTGATTATAAGAAAAACTGTATAAAGTCTACGTATTGATACTTTTTCCTGTACTTTTTACAACAGGAAATTCTTAAAAATAAGCATGTGTGACAACCCCTCCAATGTTCCTAACTTTCAGGAGAAGTGAGCATCCACGTTGTAGCCTTAGGAGTGTTTTAAACGTCTGATTCTGCGCTCAGTCTATTCTTTCTGCCATATCTAAATGTATCTTTTTGTTCTTTCCTCCTCCAGTTACACTCCCCTCTGTCTCCTGCACCAGGGTTCGACAACCACATTCTGTCAGACAATGAGGTAAGTGTGTGTTAAACTCCCTTATTCCCCAAACTGCCGTTTCCAGGCTTGAGACAGCAGCACTTTAACTTGGTGAATGCCAATGCTCCGAGCACCAAAAAGATTTTAAAAAAGAAAGGGAAAAAAAACTGGTATAACACTCATACAACATCAGACAATACGCTCTGAGGGAAAAACCTAGCAGGGAGCTTTTGGGACAAATGCATCAGTTTGTTATTGTGTACAAATTCCTGTTATCTCAATAAATGTATAGTTATGTTCATGACAATTTTATACAGTTTTGCTAATAACCCAAATAAGGACAATTCACATGAACAGTGTGTGTCTTCTCTGTCCCTCAGTCAGC